ACAATGTTGGTGCCTGTTTTCCTGTCATTTCCGCATATATTACCGAGAAAAAAAGACACTTACCTACATTTTAGTAAAAAAATGATCTGCCAGGGGGACATCGCGAGCGCAAGCCGCGTTTAACTTCAGTGTTCTAGAACGACATTCTTTCGAAATGTCCCCCCTGTGACGTAAGCAGTTTATGCGATCCGTGAAAGTCGAATGGGTCTATTGAATTGGAAGACAAATAAACATGGTTTAGGGAACAAATGATCTTGTTTTTTTCAGGTTTTGTTTGTAGATAGTTATTAGGGAATAACTAAATTTTAATTAGGCAATTAGGTTATTCTCTAATAACTACGGATAATTAGTAGATATCAATTTGTGCAAACGTACGTTTGTAGCTTTGACCATTATGCACATGAAAATCATACTTTTATTTCAGTTACTTGTACCAAAGTGCTATATTATAACTTTAAAGATAATTACATTTGGGGCAATAAAATGTGATGACGTCATCCATATGGTCCAAAAAATTATTTTCATAACCCTTTTGTACCCAGGTATCAATATTCAGTACAACTACAGTTCTTTCTAAATTTGTTTGTGAGAAAACGATGGAAAGTGAAAATGCCAAATTAGCCAGGGAGGACACCTTAAACCCCCATTCACTCCAGGTCAGCACTATTGCTGGCTCCATGTTCCAGACCGCCCAAGTTCGAGGGACTGCAGCAGAATGTGACAGGAATGTTAATAGGAGGACGGATCAGACAGAAGTCGGTGTTGTTGGATTTCTGTTGGATCAAGAATGGATTTTGTACCACTTAGGAGGACAAGCCGGATCGGGGAGGGGCAATTAAGAGATGGGTTTGACCTTGATAAGGGGATGGGCTGTACTACTTATACGGGAGGGGGTTAAGGACTGTAATATTGTACATGTTTAATAGTGATTTTAGCTTGAAAGTTCATCTATGTTCTTGGTAGAAGTTATTATGAAACACTTTTGAATTGTAATTTCCAACACAGCCTTCTCAAAAAAATTTGAGTAGGTGGCTGCTAAGAAAAAGTAGCAGGCGAGCCACGAAGTGGCTCGAAGCGAGCCGCGCAGCGGCTCGCGGGGGAGGTACGGGAGGGGGGTGGCCCCCCTCCCGTTGGGGGGGTCCGGGGGGCCCTCCCCCGGAGGAAATTGTAGAAATTAGACCCCTAAACATCGTTTTTGGTACATTCTGAGCAGCTTTTATGGCAATCTTATGGTTCCAAAATTTACGGTTCGTGCACAAATAATTCCGGAAAAAGGCTGTATTAAAAAATTGTTTGCCACTCCGATCGTATTACGCGCGGTCCTTGCGCCCGGCTACAAAATGCAGGAAAATAAAAAAAGACATATTTAAATAGTCAATTTGATCGAAAACATAATCATTGGGATCTGAAAAAATGTCACAGGTTCGCTTTTTGGAAGTTTTGTTTCTGTTTTGACGGTTTAATTCTAGCGGGGTGCGCTCCATAAATGCCCGATAGAAATTCACCCCGCGTCCCGGTACACTGACTTCCGGGTTCCTTGAACAGGAATATTACGAGAAAAAGGCCAAAAATCGACGTAGAGAAATATATATCTTCCCGAAAATTCTTTTGATTATGCATTTCTTTAATAGGATGTTGCTAAGTAGTCGTAGAAAAAACGTAGAGAAAGCAGCGTAAATGTGTCTCTCTTCTGCATCGACGAAGAAAAATTCTTCCGCGCTGCCTGCTGCTGGCTATATCGCTTATCCAATCAGAACGCAGGTCATGTGAGGTGAACCTCGATCTCACCAATCAGAGCGTCGATCGCGCTGTGCTACTTACTTATTCATGACAAGATGGCGCCCGAAAGCTCCTGTTTTTGTACAGCGATGGGGAGTGTGCGTTTTTTATTCCGGGGTTTCTTAGTTTTGACGCTGATTTTTGGCTCGCCGTGATTACGCTACAAATGACACACTAAGTGGAGACAACAGATGAGTGATCATTTTACGATCGACAAGAACTTTGATGAAATGAAACAGCTGTGAAATCTCGCTGATGGCGATTTGTTTTCGAAAATTTGTCTCGTGTTTCTAACTGTGTATGAAAGATACGAACACGCTTCTGTACATGTCTTGATATTTTTTTGACGTGATTCGTACTAGTTATTTGTAGCAGGAATACTACTAGTGCCGGGAGAAGTTGGGAAGGTAGCGGCTTGATAAATTTTCGTGAGCAACTAGTTTACGAAGCAAGTTCCGCCTAGCTCGAGCGATACAGCTCCGCCGATTCAACTCGAGCCCCGAACAAGACCCTCCCCCCGTAAAGTTTCGGCCGCTCTGGCCGCGGGCCGCTGAGAAGCAAACGATGACTCGTGCACTAGAAATCTGCACAGGAGGCTAAGAAAGAAGCAGTTTTCAGATCCAGAAAGCTAGCAGAAAATTGTCTGAAGTTCGTCAGAAGAAATGAGCCGGTGGAGTTTGTGAGAAATGTAATGGAGACTACATTGTTTTCTGAAATTTACACGAAAGTAGCCGGCGCAAAATTTGAGTAGGCGGCGATTTTCGCCGGTAGCCGGCTTGTTTGAGAAGGCTGCAACACAAGTATTGGAATTAACCAAATTTTCTTTGACAATGACTGGAGGTGTACAGTGGAAAATTTGGGTAAGTCCAATTTCTGGTGTAGGAAGTTCATGTTTGATAGTTTATGGAAGTCACTGATTTGGAATTTAAGTGCTAAAGAAATATTAAATCTGTCAAACTGTTAAAAAGATAGCAGTTTGCCCTTTTGTTCTTTTCTCATATCTCTTTCCTTGTAGTTAGGCCATGTTGATTTGATTATATGGATGACATCCTCCGGGAGCCCCAAAACTGATGCGCGCATGCGAATAAAAAAAAAGTTTTGCCAAAAAAAAAGTTTTATTTCATTATGAAATCTACGTGGTCATGAGGGTTGAGCAAATGGCACAGAATATGGTTTGGCGAATAATCTAGTCTTCAAGTTCATTTCTTTACAATTTCGTCTTTTTTCGTTTGATTTTGGCATTCTACGACATTGGTATAGTTTTTATTAATTTTTTTGTAACTTATGGTATATTTTTGCTCATTTTGCAACTGTTTTGTACGATTTACAGTATGGTTGAAAACTTTTTTTTTTTGGAAACGGCCGAAAATTCATGCGCGCGCGGATGTCATCCATATAATCAAATCAACATGGCCTTACAGAAGTACAACTTTCTTGAAACAAACTTACAATCCACTCAAGCCCAACCCAAATTGCAATTCAAGAAGTCTGCTTGTACTTTCTGTAAAAGCCTACTCTGCCAATCTAAGCAGACATTGTTGGAAAGCTTGATTAGTTTCAGGGTGAAGAGAGTGAAACCCGGGTACAAAAGTATTCCATCAGGGGTCAGAACCAATGACATGGGGGTTAGAGTGAGCCTAGACACCCATTCACCTTTACCCTTGGTAGAATATGGAATCAATCCAGCACTTGCCCCACTAAACTTGGTATTAGAACAGTCTATGTCTGCATGTTTTAAATATATTGGAGGTAAGGCCACACCAATTTAATTTGTTGGTTCTCGAATTCGCCTCTTTGTTTTTTCTGATTTGCAAAAAAAAAATTGATTCTGGTCCTGAATCAACTGAAAATGCTCATATTTTGCCCCCAACAGTTGAGGAAATTCCTTTTCTTCCTAATTGTTACAATTTTTTTCCATCTATCAATGCAGTGGTTTGATTAAAAGTTCAAAATTTATACTTTAAATTCTAACCCAGCCTTTTTTGTTGACTTCATGGCTCATATTGTAGCATTTGGGGCTATAATAGGATGCCTAGACCTGTTTTTATTTTATTTTTTTTCGCCCTGTCGCTTCATATTTTTTCTGAAAAAATCCGAGAACCAACAAATTAAATTGGTGTGGCCTTAGAACAGTCTATGTCTGCATGTTTTAAATATATTGGAGGTAATGGTAGTGCTCTCAGACCATGCGGAAAGGGTTGGCCCTTTTTGGCGTACATTAATGGTATCACTTGAGCGACCAGACTTGGTATTCAGGCGAGAAATATTTCGTGCCGCTGTGTTTTGAATACCTACGATACAAGTAATTCTATTTCGCAGACGGATTGGTGTATACATATCATGTACTCATGCAGACTTGGTGGCAGGCTGTGAGATTTTTCTCCCTGGTGGGTTTAGAATACCAGAGATTTTGGTCATTTTTGGTATGACTGCGTGACAGTTCAATAGATCAGCTACAGGTCCTCAGTACACGTATTATGTAAATGTAATCCAATAGTTGCCAGACTCTACCATGTTCTGAAGAAAGGGGAGGAACGGATAGCAAATTCTACCATAGAATTAGAAATGCAGGAGTGTTTTATTAACTTTTAAGACGGCCATCATCGAAAACATTCCTGTAGTACAACTTTTGAGTTTGAGGAAGGATCTTTCTTCTGGCACTTAAGAGATAATAAAGTACTACAGTTCAATTGCAAAATTTAATCTTAGTGTAATACAACATGTATGTAACTACACATATCTCATTCAGATCATGCTAATGAGTAATGACTAATGCTTATGGTTAATAGAATAATGATATGATATTTTGTATTAATCATATAATATTATATACTAATCAGTAACCATATTTTTATGATTTTGACAGTAATTGTATTAACACTTGATTGAAATTTAATTAAGTTTTTCTTAACCTTTTTGAGTTTGCTTTGTTTTGCAGTGACTAATGCTATCACCACCACCACCACAACAACAACAACAACCAGTAGTATTGTTAGGAGCCCCACTAGCACTCCTGTACGCACCATTCGCATTTTCACGGGACTCGGCGCCATGTTTGACTGTAACATCGTGGCAGCGTCCTCGGCCATAACCCGGTGGACGCACAACGGGATCGTTGTCACGGGAGACAACAACAACACCAGGGTGTCTCACGACGGGCAGAACTTGACGATTTTGAGCGTAACGACAACGGACGTGGGCGTGTACTGCTGTCTCGGAGGGAATGGGACAGAACTGGAGTGGTCGTCATGCACCAGGCTAGACGTGAGAACAGGTACGGAGCAACTCACAGTTAGGGGACAATTTTTGCTTTTCAAACGTTACTTTTACTTGAACTGTGGTAAAAAAATAGATAATGTACAGTGTAGAACATAAAAATGTCTATATCAATTCAACTTACTGTAAATGACATACTGTAAATTTTCAACAATTTTCACCAAAAATGTGAATTTTGTGTCATTTATGACTACTGTTACAATAAGTAAAGTTTGGTCAGTTGATACAGATGTTCATAATACTAGAATTCAATCCCAAATTTGTATTGATCTCAATTGCTTTTCAATGACTCATTCAGACTTAACACTTATGTCTCTCTCTTTCTCTCTCCATGCTGTCTGGTCCAGCCCTGGCCTTCTACTAAGTTCTAGATCTTTCTGCCCATCTCTGTTATCTCTCTCTTCTTGTTTGTCCTGTGACCCTCAAGTCCTTATTTGGGAAACTTAGAAGCCAGCTAGCTCCAGATGCTGACCTTGGATTACCTTGGACAGATTGTAGAAAACAAGCAACCTTGGCTGTACATGTAGGGCTAACAAATGGGCCACAATGTGACTCACAAAGTTGTTGTTGGACATGATTCAAGTTGTGAGCACAAAGTTTGGCATTCAGAAAGTGTTACTGTTGATTAGCCAAGGTCTTTCCACTTGAACATAAATAAGGGAGAATATTGAGACATTTTCTTTGTAAAACTTGTGTCATATTGGATATAATTTTGAATCTTTGCATGTACTGCCTTTTGAGTACACGGAATTCATCACAAAATGACATGAAATAACTTTACCTTTTAGAACAGATTTAGTTTCATGAACATAGAAAAGCTTCTATTTGTAGAAATATTGTTATGTGCAAATAGATTTCGTTTTATGTAGATACAGGTGCAATCTATTTAGATGGGCTAGTGTTCTGATTCTTGATAATAAAATTCTTATTGATGTGTGTGTGTGTGGTCTATTCTTTCTTGATCATGACTCTTGTCTGTCCTTGTATTTACATGTATATGTGTATGTCAAACACACTAGACTTTCTTCCTGCAACTTTGTGTTACTTGTACTGTTAGATACATACATGTACATTGTATTCTATTGAATGTTCTCTGTCTTTCCAAATGTTTACTGCTGTGATTAATAAAGTCTTCCCCAGACCTTTTTTTGTCTTTTGCCATATTTCTTGTCAAGAAAGTAGAAGTGGCTATGTTGTTATATGAACGATGTTATATGTTTGAAATTAAAGGAGACTATTTTTGGTTACATTTGGTTGGGAAATTGGGAAGAAATTACTTTTTGCTGGCAAAAATTTAGGCATAATTTAATCCAAGTTATTTTTATGTGTGTATTTTCAGACCCCTAAATATTTTCCTGTCATGGTACAGGAAATGATTGAATTCTGAAATGACCAGTCAGATGTGGTCATGTAGTACTACATTTTTGTGACATTAGGCCACACCAATTTAATTTGTTGGTTCACGGATTCGCCTCTTCGTTTTTTTCTGATTTGCAAAAAAAAATCAACTGAAAAATGCTCATGTTTTGCCCCCCAACAGTTGAGGAAAGTCCTTTTCTTTCTAGTTGTTACAGTTTTCCCATCTATCATTGCAGTGGTTTGATTAAAAGTTCAAAATTCAATGTTTAAATTTTAACCCAGCCTTTTGTGTTGACTTCATGGCTCATTTTGTAGCATTTAAGCCTATAATAGGATGCCTAGGCCTGTTTTTATTTTTATTTTTTTCGCCCTGTCGCTTCATATTTTTTCTGAAAAAATCCGAGAACCAACAAATTAAATTGGTGTGGCCTTAATTAAGGCTTCGGTACTGGTATTGAATTCCATTCCAGTCATCAACATAGTTAGTGTGGGGACTCGCGCACGCTTTCACATGTGGATTGAAGCACTAGTCTTGTTCTTAAGACATTTGAAAACTTTGTCAAGAATCGCTGTTAAGTTGCACTGAGGGTAATAAAGGCTTTTATAGAGCACTCCTTGATAATTAAGAATTTCCTAATATTCAAACTTTATGTACTCGTAAACAAGCACCTGTAGTTGATTGCTTTATAGCACACTTGTAAAAATTTTTTTGAAGTCTGCCACAGTGTGCAATTTTTTTAAACACTGCACTAAATCTGTGTAAGATGGCTAAGTGATATCAATTTACACACCTTTATCACTACTGTAAAGATTCGTCAAAATATAAAAGATAGTAATAAAAAGATGATAAAAAAAATTTAAAAGAAGTATAAAAAAATCAAAAATAGTGAAGAAATTATAATAATAAAAGATTTGTCAAGGATAAACACAAAGTGATTTCTTTCTGCTTGTCTGACAGATTATGTTTCCTTACTCTACAGGACCCCAGATTACAAGACCACCTATCAACGTGACTGCCCTCGCTAACACTCGAACATCGCTACGCTGCGGCGCGACAGGCAACCCCAGCCCGGTAGTGATCTGGGAGCGCGAGGGTTACCCCATCGAGATCGACCAAAGGAAGAGTATCCTTCCGTCGGGAAACCTCCGGATCAAGGAACTGCAGTTAAGCGATGGGGGACGGTATCGATGTGTGGCCAGTAATGAATACGGGCAGACTTACTCCAACTATGCCTACCTCACAATACAAGGTACATATTATGAGGGCCTGTATGGCCTTTCTCATAAGCTGTAATCAGGACTTTTCAAGTCTTCGTAATTTGTAGGCAGTTAATGTAATTCAAGCTTCATTTAGTGCAATTCGTAATTGGCTGTAAAAAATTTTGCATAAATCATAAGGCCTACATTGAAGGAAAAAAAAGTTGTTTCCTGTTTCCCGACCGTACCCTAGAAAAACTGCTGATCCTAGCCTTTTTTGGTGGACCCCTGCAAGGAACATGAATTTTTCAAGCTGATTTGACCTTTTCTAGCTCCATGACACCTGTGATGTAGCCGTGGACGACTCTGGTACACCTTTTTGCATGATAATGCCGGTGACAGAGTCGTGGAAAGCTCCATAGGCCAAAACCAACCTTTGCCGTGTCGGCGATCGGCGCCATTTTGAATTCAGGAATCGGCCTGCAAAACAGGTCGGACCCTGAGTTTACGACAGATTACGTCATGATACCTGCAGCTTGAACGTTGGAGAGTTGAAAATAACGACGTAATCTGTCGTAAACTCAGGGTCCGACCTGTTTTGCGGGCCGATTCCTGAATTCAAAATGGCGCCGATCGCCGATGATTTGTATGGAGTTACGTGCTCCGAGGCCGTGTTGTGGTTAAATGCTGCGTTTGTTTAGGGTCTTATCCCCCCGGCCCGGCAGGTGAGTGCGTCGGGAAGCCAGGGACACCAAAAAACCGGGGCCGGCCCGTTGCATGAGGCCCGGCACGGCAAAGGTTGGTTTTGGCCTATGGAGCTTTCCACGACTCTGTCACCGGCATTATCATGCAAAAAGGTGTACCAGAGTCGTCCACGGCTACCTGTGATGAAACATATACAATGGGTTTTTCAACGTTGACAACTATAAGTGTCTTCATGCAAGTTTTACATAAGTTGGATCAGTATATAGAGATCACCTGACAAAAGTCTAACAAAAAAAGAAAAAAAAAGATAATCCCTACATATCGACCCTATTTTTTTCAGGACTGAAACAGGAAACACAACATTTTTTCCCTAGGCCTAATCATTCATATCCACTCCCCCCATGCAGGCGCTTTAATATTGATGGTTTTTGCACACACAATTTTTGTTTCATATGACCATGGATGTATCTTTACAGAAGCTCTGGCTATTAGTGTAGTATTGATTGATTATCATATCTATGATGTACAGTCCCAGCTGAGATGCTGCAGGGTCCATCTAATAGGAACGTGTCCTTCGGCACCGAGGTGACACTGTCGTGTTTTGTGTGGGGCATCCCACAGCCCAACATCACCTGGTACAAGAACAGCAAACCTGTAAGTACAACAAACATCATGTGTTCTGGCTCACGCTCAAGTAAAATGTGTTCCCTGGCAACCATTTAAGCTTGTCTTATTATATAAACTCCTGACCAGTAGTTAAGGTACAGGCATGAGTAGAGTTGGGGCATGTAGCTTCAGTGGACACTAGATGTACCGTAATTATACTAAAATGTAGAGCCTTAGGGCTCTCTTTAGACTGACGATGGTATATAGTGATATGACAATCCATGACGTCCCACTTCCTTCGCCGGCGATGGATTGCTTTAGATGAGGGCCTGCAAGGGGGGGTAGTGATTACGAATTACGCAAAATTTTCGCCGCCTATTACGAATTACGTTAAAGTCTCAGAGCTGATTACGACTTTACGATTTGCGGCTAATGTCCAATTACGAATTACGTTGATTTTTGCGGAGGCTGCCTACGGATTACGAAGTCTAAAACGGCCTGATTATGCCGCTGAAGGGTGACACAGTAGGGTCCGAGGTGGTAGTGATGATTATTGGAGGATTACTATCGCGAAACTATTTTGATCCTCTTTAGACGGCCAAAAAATACTGTCGCCGGCGACATCTTGACGATACATTCGCACGACTATTCAATTGTTGTCAGTCTAAAGAGAGCCTTACATGTACATGTAGATGCCGTGTGTGTTTTTATATATAACCTGTGGAAAGCCGTTACAATTATCAAACTTGTCTTATTCTGTGTTATTGACTGGTGTTGTATTGCATCACTTGTGTATTGTGTCACTAAACTGTTACAGTGAAACGTCTCCAGGAGATTTTGGTACCGTACTGTTGCCCTTGTGGTTGTCTGCTAGTACAATGTACATGTAGATACGGTGGACGACTTTCCTTGTTTGACGTTGTTGTTCCGTTTGTGTCTGTAGCTGTCTCCGAGGTTCTCAACCATACAAAATATCAAGAGAGTGAGTATAGTGCAGTTTTCTTGTCTTCTGTACTAACATGAACTCCCCCATGTGAGAAAGTCCTCTTTGAGATTCTGAGGCATCCTAGATATTACAAGTACATGTACCTCTTCAGATATGTTCAGCAATGTGTTATGATGTCTTTCTCGATCACATTGCTTTAACACACAAAAAAATGTGTGTGGTACATGCATGTACATTTGTACATGTACTAGTCTTGAAGGCATATAGTATACTACAAATGTAGTTGTGATAATGGATATCATGTACAAAAAGTCTTAAATATTTCTTGACAGTGCCCTATAGTTTTTTATTAAAGATAATTTGATAGCTTTTTAAAGTGTAGCTAGTTTTTATCCATTGAAATACAATTGCCAGACTGCAGAATGATTCAAGTTGAACATATAGATTTGATATCCAAAGTCTTGATCATTAGGTACAGTTCTTTTTCATTACTACAGCATGGTTGTAGTTGGTTGTTTGTTGCTCCCTAAAGTGCCTTAAGAATTTTTAATGTATTATGTGATATGTTTATGTGCGTGCCTTGGATTGTGGCAGATTGGAAGAGCAAGGAAAGTCAATGTAAAGGAAAGGGTAAAGAAGTTGTTCATGGTATAAGTGTATTGTGTAGAGTACTACTAGAGTCTTCTTTGATGTAGATTATTAGATAGTTAAATTTTACAATAGACATTATACTTTTGCATGAGAGCAAGTAAAAAGATGTTCACTGTTTCAAAGAATTGAGTAATGACACAAAATTTTAGTTTGCCTTCAACACTCTTTTTGAGTCTTTACTGTGAAATTAAAAGAGAACTTCAAGGCAATATTACTACAAGTTATTCTAACTAACTTTTTACACAATATTTTCTGATACATTGTGACTAATTTATGACTTGTGTAGAAAGTCAATGTTTAATAACAAATGTTTGGATGGAACACAACTGATTAAGCTGTGAGTTTCAGTTTTACGTTGGTAGCATGATAAAAGTAACATTATATCAAATAAATACTCAAAAGCCCACTTGTATATTCATGGTTCAGTAATATGCTCCCACAGTTACGTCGCAGAGGACCGACCTTGTTATGTCCAAATAAATGGCGCGTTTCGTTCCGATGCGCCACAAAGTATTTGTTTTACTACCCCCAAACGAGTAAGCGTTAACTCTAGGAATAAAATCCAAAGGCTAAAAAACACTTTCAATCCATATTTTGATACTTCCTGACAAATTATAAAAAGTGGCGAACTCGGGGTACACCCTTGGAACTACCGCCCTAGTTACGTCGCAAAGTAGAAGGTTGACCCTTGACCTCAACGTTTGATCAATCACCATGGTAACACGTATGTAAAAAGTCTAACAAAAACTCTTTCGACATGGCCATATATCATCAAGAGGTTCATGGAATTTTCCTTTGAAATGTGTGATTTATGTTAAAAAGTGGCGAACTCAGGGCCCCCTCCGTTACATCTTTTTTGTTTCACTAGCTGATCTACCCAGAGACCAACACCACATACACGGAGTCCATGTTGACAGTGAAGGCCACATCACCATCTAACTACACCTGCGAGGCACGAAACCAACACTCTGGCGGGGTCACCGTACTCCGTAGGACAGGGCGAGTCATCATCACAGACAAGAGGTACACCCATGCATGCCAGTGGTCGAAATACTTTTTTTCAGTGCTCTGCAATATTGCAGAAGAGTAAAAATTTTGTTCTGCAATTTGGAAATACTTTCTGCAAATACACAAGCCTCCATACTACAATCTTGCAGGTTTATAAGCATGAACTATTGATTGATATGCAAATTAGTGAAGACAAATTTTTGGAAGTCCAAAAGGAAACAAAAGATAAACAAGACAAGGTTGATGCAAATTAGTGAAGAAGCTCCTGTTGTTTCAAAACAGGAGCTTAAGTGTTGTCTGTCCTTGGGGCCAAAAGCGTCAAACCCCAAGTGCCAATTTTTCCTGCTGCAAAATTGCAGATTGTATAAATTTTTCTTCTGCAATCTTGAAAATCTATCTGCAGATTGCAGACTGCAGACAGGTATTTCGAACACTGCATGCTCTTTGTCCTCTTTTCAGTCTTATTTTTAGTGATAAATGATTCATTTTTTGTTTATTTAGCTATGTCGAAAATGATTCTTGAATTGAAGAAAAAAAATTATTATCTGTTATCTTGATGTATTCTCCTCATTTTTTTGCTTCAGTTGATGACTTGTATTTGTACCTTCGGAATGTGACTTGACCCTTCAAAAATATTTGCTTATTCCAGGGAAATCTAATCCTTGAATATACCTGAATGCGATTAAGCCCTACTCTCCAAGCAGAGGTTTGGGGTTATTTTTAGCATGTTTTGAGGCTTTTTTGTCAGGGTTTCTCTTTTGCACTGGATTTTTTCCCCATGTTTGGTGGGCCAAAAAATTCAGTGCAAAAGAGAAACCCCGATAAAAAAAGCTTAAAAAACATGCTAAAAATAACCCCAAACCCAAACCTCTGCTTGGAGAGTAATTAAGCCCCCCTGCCCCCCCCAGGTATAATAATAAAAAAAGTCCCTTTGATCACTGTGCTTAGATATTGACAAACAGTCAACAATTACCATTTTGTCTGAAATTTGGGAATTACCTTGCAAGTAGAAAAATATAATACCCTTAAGAATAAGTGCTCTAATCAAAGAAAAATTGTCTTCTTATTGATGCTTTCATTATACCTGCAAGAGCTTTAAATATTGAAATTGATTGTGAAGTAAGGGAAGAAAATGACAAAGCCAATCTGACAGCTTATAGGCAAACTGTTTCCTGAACTTTAATGTAATGTCAATCATATGTCTGCAGATCAATTATCGCAGCAGTTAAGCTAAATTGATTTATTTACTTTCTTATTTTCTACCTTTCGAGATGGAAGGATGCCTGCTGTCTGTTTTTTTTTATATCTTACTGTTGAGATATGTATTGAAATAGCAAATACAGGGCCAGATGTGCATGCATTGAGAACAGCAGAGTGATAGGAAAATTTAAGAACATTTTATGAATGCAGAGTCTGACATTCATACAGTTTTGTACACTTCTGTAATCTCCAAGCAGATCATATGGTAGCAAGGCCAGAGGAGTGTCCATTTGGCTGATGGCCGCACCACTGGCCAATGGATACTGCCACCATATGATCTGCTTGGAGATTACACTTCTGAAATGAAATGGATTGAAGTAGTTCCATTTTGCACTTCTGTATCCCCTGTTGATTGTCTTTGTTTACCATCCATCCCAGTAAGTACCAGAGCCCTGCGGGCTACTGTGCGCCGTACTCTGGCAGGATGTGTCGCCGACACGTGGGCAGCCGGATGGTGTGGTACAACAGCTCGCTGGAGAACCCCGAGCAGCAGAACGAGGCCATCGTGCGGGCGCTGGAGATCGAGCTGCTGAGCACGGTCAGCGGCATGTGCCGTCCCGTGGCCGAGGCGCTGCTGTGTCACTACGCCTTCCCCAACTGCGACACAGACACCGGCGTGCCGCGCCCCGCACCTCTATGCAGGTGTGTACTGGGAACATTTAACACTTTTTTTTGTTTGTTTGTGTCGCATAATCAGTAAACTGTCTTTAGGCGTAACACACCAGTTTTGTACATGTAAGTACAAGCTGCTTGAGACCGGACTGTAAGGTTTGAACCACTCACAGGGAAGGACCCCTACTCTTTTCGATAAGTGCGGTGGGTTCTTTAACGTGCTTGGGGTGTGACAAACACGGGACCTCCATTTAACGTCCTATCCAAGGGACGTCTCTAACCGAAGCTAGGTACTCATTTACACCTTTCTTTTGACTTGCAGTAAGTACTGTGGTCGTTCTTGTGTCTATAAGTCAGGATAGACCATGGAGGTGCACTGTAAGATTCGCAAATTGAAGCACATGATGCATGTGTAGGAATGTTTTATTGTTTTTAAGCATATATTCTATATGGCTTGACTGTGTTGTTTTTCTTCCCACAGAGAGCAGTGCCTTGCCGTGCAGAACATTTTATGTTTCCAGGAGTGGTCCCTTCTGATGGATAAGAAACGTTCGGGGATTTACCTACGTTCCCGCGGGCACTTCCGCCTACCGGTCTGCGCGGACCTGCCCAGCGTTTTCAACGGCACCAGGGCCTGCTCCAACGCTTCTGTGTTTGGTGAGTGTACATGTCAAGGACAGTTACTACTAAAGTTACTCTCCACGGTAGCGTTACGTGGATGAGCTTAACTCTCTTCCTCTACACTTCCCTGTCCTTCATATCATAGCTCTTGGTAGTTGATCTGTGGTGCAACATGCATCCCCACACAGTTGTACATGTATGTATGTATGTCGTACATGGACTTCTTACCCTCACATGGCCATATGCATGCTTTGGCTCCCATAGGAGAACATAATAAAGTAGATACGTCGATGAAGGTTAGACATCCAGGTAATACGATATGCCAAAAAACAGTTACTCAAGCAACTGGATATGATTTTGAAAACGTCAGACGTTTCAGCTTAAGCTCCTGTCCTGTATAACAGGAGCTTTCAGACTAATTTGCATCATCTTGTCTTGACTTGTCTGACTTTGGTTCCTTTTTCGACTTCCAAAAAAATTTGTCTTCACTTTATTTGCATATCAATCAACAGGTTGTGTATATAAACCTGCTTTCCCCTCTGGTCTCTCAGTCACTGACGAAAGCTAGTGGATACTAGCTGAAACGTCTAACGTTTTCAAAATCATATCCAGTTGCTTGAGTGACTGTTTTTTGGCATAATAAAGTAGAGTTCATGTCTTTTTCTTTATGGGCAACCTTCCTCCCTTTCTTTCTCTTCAAGACTGAGAAGCAACTTGCTAGTACTAAGTATTACTAAGTTATTTTGAAGTATTGTACATCAGTTGGAATGGAATTAAACTGAAAAAGATAATAAAGTGCATGATGTGATGAAATGATGTTGTATCTCCAACTCTGATCTGATCTGTTTTCCATGTTACTATGACGCTGGCCCTGACAGAGATGAAGTCTGAGATGGTGACGGGTAAGTGTGATCTTAAAACTTCACCATTTGCTTCTGTACATGTAGCTATACATTTTGTACTTCTATCCCAGAAAGCACAGTATGTAAGGAAATGGATTACTATACTGCTGTGTTGGCATTCAGCAGATGCCATGCAATGTGTTATATGACTGTACAATGTAGGTCACCAAATTGTAAAGGAGTCAGCAGCCTAGCAATCTAGCTAGACTTAACTGCTGTATTTCAGTGTTAGTTTGTCTTGTATAAGAGGCACAGAGAGGATGTCCTCTTTATTTGACCTCTCGTGCGACCTCTAAGCCTTGTCTTTGATTTGTTGTTGCAATCTCAGCTGTCCCCTTGTCATCGCCCATCATGCCACATTCCGCAGACTTGGCCTGTCAGAAATAAAAGAAATGTTACTGCACAGACCTTATCAATAATCAGGGACAGTTGACAAGTGCCGTCACCTTGAATCTGAAGTTTGGTCCTTGTCCCACCCATGCTGTTGTTGCATCAAGTGTGGCCTGCGTATATGCCCCACCCCCTACCGGGCGGTGATGGTTTAGGTTCTATTTCAGTTGTCAGAGTAAACATGGCGGACTTTGATACCTCAGTAAGGAAAACATGCTGTTGTATGCCAGCTATGCCGCCAGCAGGCGGTTGATGTGCTTTGGTTATGACAGTTGGGGCCCCCTGCAGTGGTTGTCCGCAAGGAGCCGGCGAAAATTTATAGGGAAGAGCTCTTGTTGTGATACATCTACAGAGGTAGTTCGTTTACAAGGTTAGGGGCAAATAACAGCAGGGTTCCATCCTGTAGAGCACATAATATCGGCGGCGTTCGTGTCTCGTGGCACGGTTGTGCCCGCCGCTTAACCTCCGAATCATCAAAATGCAGATAAATAACTGGGAGGAATACCATGAGGGTAGAGCGGGGTGCTCGGCATTGCTGGGAGCTATTATTGGAGCCCGGAGTGTTTTGCCAGGTCTGGGGAGTGACAGGCAGCTCTCGGCACAGTCTGTCACCTGGCTGTAATCGCGGATCACGGAGAAGGATCGACGTATTTGGCATAGTCATCTGTCCAAGTGGCGACAAGCGTAAAAAATGTTGTCTGCCATCATGATTGTGCAAACTTATTTTTGGTTAAGGACTGGAAAAACGTTCTATTTCTCATGTAAAAGATGCTCCAGTGTCCTGCGCAAAAAGAGGCGAGAGGGAATCAGCTTGAGCTTTTGATACACAAACTTTATGAGGGGTAAAAGAGTTTGTCAAGTTGACATCATTGATCGTGTCCATCAATGCGTTAATCCCCCTCTGGTCTTATTATAGATTATGACATTCCTTTTCTTTTTGGCTTCATTATGCTAAAACATCTCAAGCAAAAGAACTCCCAGGCCAACAAAAAAAAACTCAGCAAGTCACTAGTCTCTTCCTGCCATGACAACTAACGCCATTAAAGTAACTCTACTAAGGCCATGTTGATTTGATTATATGGATGACATCCTCCGGGAGCCCCAAAACTGATGCGCGCGTGCGAATAAAAAAAAAGTTTTGCAAAAAAAAAAAAGTTGTTTTCATTATGAAATGTACGTGGTTTTGAAGGTTTAACAAATGGCACAGAATATGGTTTGGCGAATAATCTATTTCTTTACAATTTCGTCTTTTTTCGTTTGATTTTGGCATTCTACGACATTGGTATGGTTTTTAATTTTTTTTGGAACTTAAGGTATATTTTTGCTCATTTTGCAACTGTTTTGTACGATTTACAGTATGGTTGAAAACTTTTTTTTTTTTTGGAAACGGCCGAAAATTCATGCAGGCGCGGATGTCAACCATATAATCAAATCAACATGGCCTAAATGCCAGTTGAAGACCAATTGCATTAAGACCAATGCCATAGAAAAACAGCCATGAAAGTTCACAAACTCACTAGTCTTACTGAACCTGTATCTTCTTCTTGTCTCTTCCAGTTGACTGTTACCGCGGGAAGGGCCGATATTACCAGGGTACGCTGAACGTGACAGAGTCAGGATATCCCTGTCAGCCCTGGGCAGCTCAGGTTAGTTAGTACAGTCTGGAGGGAGGTACACTAAATAGACCAGTGATTTTCAGGTGATGACATGAAGGCAAAATGTCAGCGCTTATTTTGAATAGAAAGTCCTACTTGTAGACTTATGAGCTCGGAACTTGAAAATTGTTCTGTATTCCTCAGACATTTCTTCCATAAGTTGTTACATTGTTGTTAAAAGCAAGCAATAAGCAATGGTTAAATAAATAACCATTGACCATGTGACTGATAACCTACTTTATGTCCTACCTGGGCCGCGATTACGTTCGATACGGGTGTTCCGGCCCGTGTGATAACTAGCGGTACGGCCCGGGGGTTCTTACCGCGTACGGCCCGGCCCTTCCAAATGTTCCACAGAATGATTCGAACGCGTTTCGCCCTTACCGCGTGCAATGCTTTCGAAAATTCGAATGCAAAATTCGGACGTTGGAATTGATGTTGTTGCACTTTTTGGGTTTAGGGACACCAACTTTCTGCTCATTTTGCATCGAAAGGCGTGTTTTCTTGGGTGGGTATGACATAAATAAAATACAACACGGTGTATTCCGGATCACCCTCGGTCCCAGCCCTTCCGCGGATCGGATCTCCCTCCGGCCGTCGGGCGATCCGACGCGCGGTCGGGCCGGTACCTCGGGCGATACGAAATACACCGTGTTGTATTCTATATATATTAGCTTCTAAAATTCTACTAGAGTAAGTTAAATGTATTATTGTAATGAAACATGTTACATGGGGTCGTGTGGCGCAGCGGCAGCGTTCTCGACTCGGAACCAGAGGCCCCGGGTTCGAGTCCTGACATGCCACCGATCTTGTGCCCTTGGGAAAGGCACTTTACAGGACTTTCCTCACTTCGCTCAGGTGAAAATGAGTATTGTACTGTCCCTGTGTTGGTGTCGGCATTAATATAAGTTGAAAAAACTTGAGTGTGTCGTCACCACGTCTTGTGATTATATGTTTCGGAATAAAAAAAAAACATGTTACATTTTATAAGTGGTAAGTGATTTTATGTGGTTTATAGTTTGTAAAGTGCTTTTGTCAAAGATGAGCAATTCAGTCCCCCTGTCAAGGGCTTCTGCGATAATGTACCTTTTGGAAGTTCAATAAATCAGTCATATTGATAAGGCCATGTTGATTTGATTATATGTATGACATCCGCGCGCGCATGAATTTTCGGCCGTTTCCAAAAAAAAAGAAAGTTTTCAACCATACTGTAAATCGTACAAAACAGTTGCAAAATGGGCAAAGTTAAGTTACAAAAAAAATTAAGAAATGTCGTACAATGCCAAAATCAAACGGAAAAAGATGAAATTGTAAAGAAATTAACTTGGAGACTAGATTATTCGCCAAACCATATTCTGTCCCATTTGTTCAACCTATATGACCACGTACATTTCATAATGAAAACAACTTTTTTTTTGGCAAAACTTTTTTTATTCGCACGCCCGCATCAATTTTTGGGCTCCCGGAGGATGTCATCCATATAATCAAATCAACATGGCCTAAGTTCATGTTCAAAACTTTCCATTAGGCCACACCAATTTAATTTCTTGGTTAACGGATTCGCCTGCTTCATTTTTTTCTGATTTGAAAATAAAAATAAACAATTCAGAATCAACTGCAAAATGCTCATATTTTGCCCTGAACAGTTGAAAACAGTCCTTTTCTTCCTAGTTGTTAGTTATTCCATCTTTCAATGCAATGGTATCATTAAAAGTTCAAAATTCATTGTTTAAATTTTGAACCGGCCTGGTGTGTTGACTTCATGCATATATGGCTCCTATCATACCATTTTGGGCCATAATAGGATGCCTAGGCTTGTTTTTAGTTATGTTTTTTTCGCCCGCCCGCTACATTATTTTTCTAGAAAAATCTGTTAACCAAGAAATTAAATTGGTGTGGCCTGAAGTTCATGTTCACTTGCCCAACAGGTGCCACACAAGCACGATCGCCTACCCGAGTACTTCCCGGAGTTACAGAACGCGGAGAACAGCTGCCGTAACCCCGGGGGTGAGGAACCCCAGCCCTGGTGCTACACCACCAACCTAAGCACCCGCTGGGAGAAATGCAACATCCCCCGCTGTGAGGATGGTAAGTCACGTAACGTCATGCTCAGTCTGCTTAAACACTAAAGATTCTAGCCAGTGTGTTCTTGTGTCTTTAGAGGACTGTCATGTGGAGTATCATCACATGGGTGTCACCTAGGCAATTTACTGATGAAGTACACAGTAACACACTAGATGATCACAATACGGAGAATAAGTTGTAAATGTTATAATGTATGATTTTCTTCTGTCAGCAGGGTTGAATTAGATTCTTTAACATTGTTGACACTTACACTGTACTTCAATATGTACATTTGTACATGTATATAAAGAATGTTAACAAAATGATGCACAGGAAAGGACAGATATTTCTTACCTTTGGAAGTTTTGTATTTTACTCTTCAGACTACATGTAGGTGTGGCTATGATCAGTTTGCCTTGGTCATTGCTTTGCCTTGCCATGTGATGCTAATCCATTGCATTGTCGCTTAAAGACACAAAACCACAGTTAAACATAAAATGGCAGTGGAAAGTCCTTTAAAAGTCTGACTTAGACCTAAAAATGTGGCTCTGCTTCCTTGGTAAAAGTTGTTCGTCTTGTTTATGAGTTGGATCTACAGAAATTTTGAAGTTGACTTTAAAAAAAGAGAGAAGTGAAAGAAAATGAGAAAGGAAAAACTCAAGTCAAATGTCTTCCATTCAATAAAAGTGCATTTGAGTTTCTATCAAAAGTCACAAGCTACTATGAAACTGAAATGTCAAATGTTCAAAAATAGAGACAGAGAAACAACATAAAAATTGATGATGAAAGCACAGAGTGATACTAATGTTTGTGTCTCCTGCTACATGTCTTTGAGTACTTTTTGTTTTGTCTGATTTTATCAGCTTTTATTATACATTCTGTGTCTCCAACTCATTTTGTTCTCATGTCTTTTTTTTCGCTAAGTTTTATATTTTCAGTTCTGTGTCCATGTTTGTTAACAATCTATCCAGCCATTTCGTGTTGTCACTTCTTAGGCTTTGAAGGTTTAGTAGAATGATGTGTCAGGCTCCCTTCCTGTGTCTGTCTTCCCCTCTTCTTTCTCCTCTCTGTCTATTCCTCCTTCTCTCCACCAAAGACACAAGTACCGATCAAATTGACACCGACAAAAACGAGGAAACCTGGACGCTCGGTGGGGATGACTTTCCCTATTGGTCGGATGGTAAGGAGGAGTTCATGTGGTGGTACGGTGGCACACCCCCTACGCAGGAGGACTTACGCGGCACCCCGCCTACGCAGAAAGACTGGCGCGTAACCGCCTTGCCCCGGTTTCCTCCCGAAATAGCCCAAATGGAGGACGGGACTGAAGAAACCTTTATCGATCTAGATATGCAAGTTGTCGCCCGACAGAAAGAGGAAGAGCTTGAAGAGGAAGTGGAGAGTGAAATTGAGTGGGCGATTGAGAAGGAAATAGAACGGGGCGTGACAAGCACTGTGGCGGCGGCCGGTACCACGCCTAGTGGTGACTGGTACGACGAAACAACGGCAACGACCAATCAGGTCAGCGTCAGTCCGGTTCCCTCGCAGCCGAGCAACGAGGCACTGAAGAACGAGATCACGACGCTCTGGGACGTTCTTCAGTCCGTCGTACAAAACATGAACAAGCTCGCGGAGGAGGAAGAAGAGACAGACCGTGAGCTGAGGAGGCTGGACAAAACCGTGAAGGCTCTGGAGAAGGAGATGACGCTGAGGTACAACATGCTGACCAAAGAACTCGAGTCAGCCAAGGAGACCATCGCACAGCTGGAAGAGGAGTTAGAGGAGCCTTATGAACAAGGGGGAGGGGCTATCAAACAAGGGGGAGGGACTGATGAACACCGGGGAGGGACTAACGATCAAGGGGGAGGAGCTGATCAGCAAGGGGGAGGGGCTAACCATCAAGGGGAGGCGACTGATGCTCCTGTAACTTTTGAGGCCCGCAAGGGTGGTACTGGGGGGAGTTCACTTCCTATTGCTGGGCAGGGCCTGATGATAGTTTTGCTTGTCTGTTGCTGGATGCTAACTGTACTGATTGTTTAGGGGCAAGAGTAGATAACCACAATAGGAATATTTTACTAGCCTAAAGTCTTGTTTGGTGTGTGTATTTTTGCTTTAACACTTGAGTGATTCGTGACTGTTTTTTTAGGATAACATGACTTTGTGAATCCCAAAATATTGGTGCTGTGCTATTCTTTTTCTCATTAAAGGTCATACAGCTTATTCCTGAATTAATTTTATTTTTAAGCAGTCATCCAAAATGGTTACAACAGTATATGATGTAATAATTTTGTTAATACCAATGACATCCCAAAAGTGAGTTTTGTCATCTTAGCACTTTTTTTATCATAATATCAAATTTCAATCAAACGATTTGTGCATATAACTTTAATAAGTGTGCAATCTCTGTAATTTTAAGCTATGAGTGACTTCTGGTATCTTGATGGTAGTGCACGAATATACAGAGGTTTGAATTGAATCGTAATCTATGCAATAGATTCTACAGGCTTTATGAAATCAATCAATGGTGACTGAGTTGTTTTGTTTAAGAAAATATCTTATGAGAGATCATATTTGGAACAATTTATTAGGTCGAATTGATGTTAACCCTCACCATATGAGGACTAGATGTAGTACAGTAACTGTTTTTGTCTGAATGGCTGCCTTAGCTAAACCTCAGTAACTGTACCCCTGGCATGCATGGCCTTGTTTCTGGTAGGACTTCTCAGAATAAAATGTGAGGAATTTTTATCGGGAATGTTTATTATTGACCTTGGAGGTTTATTTTGGATTTGATGTGACGTTCTGTAAGTCCAGGCGTGCCTTACCATGGCAACGGGTGTAAACCAAAGACATATTTCATGTTGTATAGAATTCGCTGATGTCGGTGGTGTGACGCTATTTTTGCATGAGATAGTTTATTGTTTCTAGAAGAATGTGTCTGTCTGGGTGACAGAGGGCAAGTAGTAATGCGTCCCTAAGCATCTGCTTTGTCTAACTGTTGTTGGGATGATGACAGGTGAAAACTGCATGATTCAATGTCCATTCAGCAGGGTGGGACTAGGCCTAGGGTGCGAAACCAGCTTTAATCTGAACAATTGTGACTCTTGAAAATAATGCCACACCAATTTAATTTGTTGGTTCTCGGATTTTTTCAGAAAAATATGAAGCGACAGGGCGAAAAAATAAAAATAAAAACAGGTCTTGGCATCCTATTATAGGCTTAAATGCTACGAAATGAGCCATGAAGTCAACACAAGGCTGGGTTGAAATTTAAACATTGAATTTTGAACTTTTAATCAAACCACTGCAATGATAGATGGGAAAACTGTAACAACTAGGAAGAAAAGGACTTTCCTCAACTGTTGGGGGCAAAACATGAGCATTTTTCAGTTGATTCAGAACCAGAATCATATTTTTTTTTTTTTGCAAATCAGAAAAAAACGAAGAGGCGAATCCGAGAACCAACAAATTAAATTGGTGTGGCCTAAGTCACTTCTTACGTATGGTTCTCATGTACAATGTATCACAGTGTAGATGTACATGTATATGACACTACAGGATTCTGTATTCTTTACCTCAACCCCATTTACTGCAAATTTACCGTACAGTTGAGCATAATATTGTAACACTAGGAAGGGTAATGCACACATAACTGTGACATACATGTAAAGAAAATATTTTCAGGGTATGGTCTCAAGTTGACTCCCAACAAATGTACAGTTCAAGATCTGCATTAGTTAGATATATGACAGCTACTGTTAATCACAATTTCATGTTTTTATTAATATCTGCTAACTGATTTTGCTATAAGAGCAATTGTTTTTTGTGCAATAGACAAAACTGCTTTTATATGAGGATTTACACTAAAACTGTTTGGCACTTTTCTATTTTTTGATTAACGTGACCTTGTAAGGATGGTATCGTCCTTTACACAAGTGTATAGATGTGAGAAGAGTGTAATTTTGGAAAAAAAGTTATGGAATAAACTTATTTTCTTCCATTGTGGCTAAGGTTTGACTAAGGTTGTAGTTTTTCTGCATGATGTTAACTGTACATTTTGCACTGATTATGACAATATGCATGTCTTCTTTCTAGATGAAAACTGTATGATTTTTGTAGTATTATGATTATAGTCATTATACATGTAGCAGGTTATATGTCCATAATTTTGAGCGTCTTTTTCGTGACTCATACAAGCCAGCCAATCACAGTTGACCTTGTCCCTTTCCCATTTTTTTTGGCAACCAATCGGTTGCCTGTAGATTTTGTGTCAGAAAGCCATCTTTTCCCATCAGCCAATCATGCCATTTCCTCTCAATTTTGGACCTCAATGACGAAGACAATGAACCAAACCGGGTATACTTGTGTTTTCTCTCCACCTCTCCTCTCCTTCTATTCCTCCTTCCTCCCTCTCTCTCACTCCATCCCTCCCAGGCCCCCCTCCTCCTCCTGTGCCTCCCTCTGCAACAGATAGCTCCAACTCTTCTGTCCCCTTCCATCGCGTCACCACAGCCCCTTCTCAGGCAAATGACGGCCGCTCACCTACCGAGGCTGTTGCAGGGACTACCCAGAGGCCCCCTGTGGTACCTGAGGGTACCGCTAACCCCAAATCAGGTATAGAAACAAACAAACAAACAAATCGGCATGCTGTGTGAGATAAAGCAAGGTTGTCACTAGGTTTTGTATCATTGGTTTATGGATTGCATGATGACCCCAAAGATTTAGTTGTAAAATTGAATAACTAAAGTGTTCATATTGTTTTAGCACCATAAAAATTAGTTTGTTGAGACCATCCTGGCAACAGCCCTGCACAGAATGCATTTCACCCTCTTTCTGTTTCTGACAGCTACCACTACTTTTTCTGCTTTATCTGTATCTACAGAAGTGCGTGCTTACAGTGCTGTACACTGTACTATGCCTGTACTCAACTTCTTCGGAATGAAACATGTCCTACATGTACATTAACTCTAAATGTTGTTACCCTGTTCTCATTGTGCTCCTGCAAGGTTGACAACTGTTACAGAAAATGAATAAGGCCTAGGAAAAGAAATGTTGTGTTTCCTGTTTTGGTCTTGAAAAAAATTAGGGTCAGTAGGTAGTATTATCTTTTTCCTTTCTTTTTTTTTTAGACTTTGGCGATCTTTAGTGATTCAACAGTTACTTAATATACAATACAGTTTAACAATTTGAAAGTAAAACTTGCAGGAGGACACTTTTATTTTCAACCATCAATGTTGGAGAACCGATTGTACAGTATTCCTTCACTCGGGTATCAGAGCTAGAAAAGGTCACTCAGCTTGAAAAATTTGTGTCCCTTGCAGGGGTCCACCAAAAAGGTTGGCAGTTTTTTCTTAGTCTGGGTGTCATCTTTTGGGGTTGCCGTTACAAATCAGATGGCACCCACGCTAGTTTTTTCTACGGTTGGTCAGGAAACAGGAAACACAACATTTTTCTCCTGGGCCTAACTTTTCAGCCATTGATTTCCCCCCCAGACAACTTCACCATTCCGCTGGACTCGGTGGCGACAGAGGAACTTCAGGTAGCGGAGAAGAACATCGTCCTGTCGTCCACCACGCTGATTATCGTGATCTCGGCGGTGTCGGGCTGCGTGGTGCTGGTGTTGGTGGTCTGTATCCTCATGATGTGTAACAAACTCCTCAAGCAGTACAGCAGAAAGTAAGTCACTACTTCTACATTCAGTATATCGTCACTTAGCATTTAGCACTAACACTTACTGCATGAGTGAAGTATGCTTTAAAACAGACATATTTTTTGTTTGTTTCAATTTCAGAAAAATTTACATGTAAGTCACCTGTGATTTTGAATTGTCATTTAAGTGCCTGCCTAACTGTAATTATAAAC